AATAGGTGCTTTCTAACACGCTGAGGCAATAGTGCATCACTCTCCTCAACCCCATATTTTTCTTACAGAATTTCAAAACCATGCAGGTGACCATCTATAAATATTGAGCAATGTTTTCTACAAGCAATTCCATTTTTATAACTGGCCAATTTTCTAATATTGATGAATCAAAACTCAGTTTGTAAGCTGTTCCCTCTGAATCAACATGACAAATGATGCAAACTTCAACTATATTAGAAACATCAATGTAAGGAAACAATGAAAAGGGCAGATTTTAGGGCAGCCCTTAAACTTCTGTATCCCCTTACATGGTTGTTTGTGTTTAGAAGGTGCCATTGCCTGGGTGTTTTCTCTAATCATTTACATCACATCGAGTGCTAAAGAATTTGAGTCGTGGCATTAAACACTTAGGTCAATACTTAAAAGTAGTGCTTTTGAAGTGCTTTTTGCAGTCTGTGTTCTTAGCTGCAATGGAAATATTGAATTCATCATTCATGATGCAGTGGTTCTCTTACTCTATTGAGGCAATATATTTTTAAGCTAGCTAACCTTGTGTACTCAAATAACCAGAAAAGGCAGGCCCTTCCCTCTGGCAGAATCTATCAGGAGGGAAGGAAAGAAGGAAGGGAGGGAGGAAGGGAGGAAAGAAGGAAGGAATAGATAAAGGAAAAATAAACAAGGCTGAGTAAAAAGAAACCCTTATTCAACTCTCTAGGTGGTACATTTAAGTACTAAAGGATGAGCTCTATTTATTTTAAGTATGGTTCCTGCCTTTGGTTATATGAATATATTCAACATAAAGTTTTAAATACATAATCTCATGCCTAGGGTCACTGAGGGACAACAAAAAAATAACATTTGCTATGAAAGTCTAAAACTTTATCATAGAATATGAACACACAATGGGGGTAATTCCCTTGGATTTGATTATGGGAAAACCTGCTCCAATAATAATAGGCAACATTTACATAGGACTGTCCAGGCTCCAGACACTGGTCTAGATGCACTACTCTCAGCTCTTGTCAGTAACTTATTTACTCCTACAACAGCCCAATGAAGAAGACAGTATTATTATTCTCATGTTACAGAAGACAACTGAGGCACAGAGAGACTAGGCAATTTGCTCAAAGTCACATAACTTAGAAGATACACATGGAATTTATCTTTCAAACTGAGACTTTTGAGACTGATAGGGGATGCTTTTCATAATTACACATAACAGCAAAGGTAAACCAGAACCGACCTGTGAAAACTAGGTTGTATGGTTACCCTGAAAAATCAGAGACTGGAATCCAGGGTCCAGATCCAGAGTCCACATGCAAGCCACTCTGGTGACTACTGTTCTCTGTGTGCCTTTGTCCATTTTGCTAATCTCTGCAGGCCTCATCCAGACACTCTTGCTTTCTTGCTCCTAGCCTTTTCCTTCCACATGTCCTCCATTCCTTCCCAAAATGTAAGCAGTGTATCAGATTAACTACCTCCAATTTTTACGTGGACCACTCACAATACAAGGATGAATAAGACAGAATCCTCGTGCTCCAGGACCTCAGTAAGGGTGAAGGGCTAAAACATCATGATTTCCCTCAAGAACAAGGTTAGAAGCATTATTCTGCATTGTTTAATGAAAGAAGTGCTCAGTGGTTACCAAGAAAAATGGCTCACGTGCTTGTAGACCCATCTGCCAAAATTCTCTTATGCTTTCTGATGAATAGAAATCTATAGTGAACCTGAATCCTTTGAGAGCTTGGCCAATAAAAGACATGATGCTCTCAAAGGAATTGTATGCTGCCTATCCAAATTCAAAATGAAAGTGTTAAAATTGCAAAATGGAAGTGCAGCTGGTTTTGCTCCAAGGTTTATCAGTGATGAGTCACCTATTTTTATTGCATAAGAAATCAAATGTAATGTCGTCATGAAAACACGATACAGTGAATTTAGGATAACTCTTGGAGCATTCAAGATGTGCCTGTTTGTTCAGGGATACTGAGTCCTTTGAGATTTATTTTAAGCACTTTAGTCTTCTGTAAGAAAGGCATTTTTTTCAATTTTTGGGGAAAGTTGCTCCATCATAAACACCCACAATGACTGGCTTTAATTCATCAGTTGTTACAGAAGCAGGGTATGTAGACTGTGCACTTTTATGTCCCTTTGTCAGCATGAGATAATATTTACTTAGATTCAATTTAAGGCGTTAATTTTTAAATCTTACCTCTTTGGTATTCACTTAAAATACGAGCTTCCCATTTCCCTAAGGACTTTAACTGCATCTAAATTTTACCTAGTGGTTTTGAACAGTTAAACTCAGTAAAGAAGGAAAGGGATTGAGGATTGATCCAAGTGTCTGGAACAGGAACTGAAAGTCGGAAGCAAAAGTCACCTTTAAATTTCATTTGCTATAAGGAAATAGATTTTCTGATTAATTTCTTAGGGGTCATGGAGAACCACAATGTCGCCTTAGATATCTGCCTAGCTAGGTTCAAGGTAAATATATATCATTTTAAATGTTTCATATTTTAAAGAACGTGTACATTGATAACTTGAAGAGTAGCTTTTGAATCCCATCAATCTATTCAGTCATATCTTTTTCATAATGGGTTTATTTGAAAGTATAATCTTACTCGAAGAACTACATTGCTAAAAGAGTAAATTCTAAGTGTTCTCACCACAAAAAAAAAAAAAAGTGAAAAGTATGTGAGGTAAAATGTATGCTAATTAGCTCAATTTAGCCATTCTAAAATGTATACATATTTCAAAACAACATACTGTATGTGATAAATATATTCAATTTTGATTTTCTAATTAAAAATAAAATAACTCAAGAAACAAAGTCATATTCCAGTAACTTAGTTACCATCTAGGCAAAAATCTTAAACTACTTGAAACTTATATGTACTTATAATATTTAAAAAAAAACCAAGACATTCCTAGTATAATTAATGAATAAATGATTTTGTGCACTCCCCATGTGGGAGACTATTGCAATTTAAAGGACTTGTTGCACAAATTAGTGCTCCTAATTGATTTTTACATTCCTTTAAGCTAGACTATGTTCAAAAGTACAATCTAATCCATATAGTCATAATTTAACAGCTAATGTACCTCTAATTGAAGAATGACTGTACTTCATAAAGTGAGATACGTGAATGTATAACTATATCAATTTATAGATTTATGAATATGGTATTAGGTTAGCATTTATTAAGGGTAAAGTAATGTATAGTTGATATAGAATATACTTTCTCCATTTGTTATTTGTTTTCTATTCCATGTATATACAAACAGAAAAATTATTAGATCTCAGAGTCCAACAATTTATCTCTTGTTCATTTTCCTTTATATTAATAGAAACCAGTTGTATAACAGTCAGAAAATCTTCCTTTCTTTTCATCAGTTTTCAGAGCAGAGAGGTGAAATAAATTTCTTCCAAACCTCAAGACAATCAAAATTATAATCAAAGAATTTGAAAACAGATGCACTTAGATTTGCATGTTAAATAAAGCTTAGGAGACTTAAGAAAGAAAATGCTGCTGATAAACTTACCTGTCCATCTGTATGCAGAAGGTATTTGGACCCTTTAGCAGGTAGGGACTGGGTTATATATTGGTAGCAAAAAGGATATTGTTTTAAAATGTAAATAAACTAATTAGAGCTGTTATCCAAAACAGCATTTAACACCCATAACTAATTTATATGTTACCCAGTACCTTCTTTCCTTCAACATTTAGTTACAAAATACAGTTTTAAGCTTAGCATGTCAAATTACAAGCCAAATGAAATTCCATCCTATGCTGATAATGGATTGTGTAATAGCCTGAAAGAGCTTCAATAAAGTACAATTTCACTAATGTGATGCAATAATATATAACCAATTTAATGTGAAACTAAGCTAGTGGTGCAGTAATATATTTATACAACTAATATTGTTAAATTCTTAATTTTCATCCTCTCAATTTAAATTACAAATTCCTTCAAATGAAATCTGCTTACGAAGAGCCTAATGGTTTTTTTTTTTACTTTAGCTTTTCCATTGTGATAGCTTTTACACTTTCCCTGTCATCTTTCCATTTAAATCCTCCAAGGGACACTTGAAGCTTTAATGTAGTACAAGCATGGACCTACATTAAAGTTTTACAAATTACATTTCATAATTGAAAATGTATATAATATGTAAGTACATAAGTATTTATCATCATAGTTTTATTATACATATAT